GTAGGCCCGCGGCTCGTTCACTCGGAGAGGGAACCCCTTGATGGTCGCACGAAACCCGCCGGCTGCTTCTCTCCCCTGCTGCTTTTCTGCCTTTCTGTTCATCTCTCTTCTGTTGCTCCGCTCGCCGTATATTCTTACTCTGTCTTTCTCTCTTTGCCTTTCTCGTTTCTTCCCTCTCCCTTTGCCGCCGCAGTGGCTGGTTCATTGGTTTCATCGGTGCACCAGCCTGGGTTCTCCGTATTCTTTTCTCTAATTATACCGTTACGTGCAATCGCCCGTGTCAATTAGCAGCTCCTTTCTTTCATTCCTCCTCTTGCGCGCTTCTTTTTTTTTCTTTTCTCGCCACTCTAGGTTGGAAATCCGACGTGGCGTGCAACCCCTTCGAAAGGACCGCTGCGCAAGGGAAGGGAAAGCAGGGCGAGGAGTAGACCGGCGCGCGCGATCGGACCCGCCAATTAATCCTCCGTATCCTTCGAGTCGCTCGTGTAACAAGACCACCATTCGAACGACGATATCCGAGAATCCTCGATTTCTTTCAAGGACCGATCAGGATTAGTGTATCACAAATTTATCATCTAAAAACGTTTCAAATAACTTGATATAAATTTGAAACATAAAAAAACGCAAAATTTAATTATGATATTTGACACAATATATATATATATATAAAACACTATATTTATATAAATTAAAAATATGTACATAAAAAATAAACGTTTTAAAAATAATACATATAAGAATTCTTTTTTTTCTTCATTCTAAATGAATCGAATAAATTGAATTTAAAAAAAAAATCGAGAAAAATTCTTTTTCAAAACTTCCTGGAAAAAAGGATATACATTTTTCTTTCGTCTTTCTTATTAAAAAAAAAAAATTATTTTAAGATTTTTAAAGAACTTCATTATTGTTTCTATTTGGCATATTATAGTTTAGTCGTGTAATTTCAGATTTTATTCATTTTTTTATTCTGATAAAAATATCCATTTCGCTCAGAACAAAAATACATCACTCGTCTAAAATCTGATATTATATTATAGTTATAATATAAAAGACGCAACATAATGATGATTAGCGCATATCAATTTAATTAAAACAACTGTCTCAAAATGCATTAAATCTAAAAAAAAATCTGCAACATCAATAATAAAAAATTATTATTAACTATTATATAATTCATTAATAATTATAATTTATATTTCATTATTTATAAATTTCAATGAAATTTTTAATAAATTATTATATAAATCAAAATAAAAATTTGAATTGGCTTATAAACGAAAGTGCATTCATGAAATTTATGATGCACCAAGTCTCTGAATAATTCCAATCAAATTCCAATTAATTTAAGGATTGCTCAGAACAAAATTTACAATTAATAATTTATCCCTAATCTTATTTATCTTTCCCATATGTTAAATAATAAAAAACTAATAATTCTTCCATATTAGCGAAATAGATATTACTTGATAGATATATTACAGGTATTATACTTAACTAGAGATTAAGATAATCAGAATCGAAGTCACCCTCTATATCTGTCCTTCTTCCTCCAAAAGCGCAGCTGCGGTCGTTCCGTCGCGATGATCTCGTTCGATGTCGAACGCGCGTTCGCGACGGATACGGAGGCGTTTAGCGTTAAATGAATGGCATGATTGCAGGTCCATCGTAATCGGCGTTTTACCGCGACGATAAATAGCCTCCATTTACGAAAGAAGGAAAAAAAAAAAGAAAAATCTCGTCGCTCGTTAGAACCTCAGAGCCGCGCAGAGATGACGAGATACGGTTTATTCATCGGCGCTTTCTTTCTCGATTGCCTCTCTTCCCTTTAATTATACCGTTACGCGTGATCGCCCCCTCTCCCCCTTTCCCTCCTTCTCTCTCCTCCCTCTTTAATTGGCTTCTTCCATTTCGGAAACTGATCACTCCTGCGGGCCGATTTCACCATGGCTGGCTTGTTATCTGCCGACGAATCTTTGCGAAAAATCTTGAATCGACGTCACGTTCCCAAACAACGTGCTCTCACACGTGTCAAGAACATAATCAATAATCTATTACGTCATCGCGTCGTTTCAACGACGTTGGCAATGCGACCTCTTCCGTTTAACTAGGTCTGTTTTTTATTCCTGTACTAGAATTCTCTTTCTCAAATATCCACAAATATCTATCTCATTATATATCTATCTCATTTTAAGTTCTAAAAGTGTATACTAGTTTAGCCACAGAAAAAAATAGACTTACTGTCGTTGTATGGAAAAAAATGCACAAATCCGACGAGATATACCTGTTAAGTGTATTCCTGCGCGCATCAACACGGTAATAGTCATCGATTAATCTATCCCTCTTAATTCTCTTCCTCTCTCCCCCCCTCGCCATTCTCCCACCAATCAAAGCAACATGTGCGATCGATCACCTTAATTGCGGCAGATTCTGTTCTCTTTTCTCGACCACTGCTCAACGGGGTAACCGTTGAATTAATTGAAGGCTTTTACGCCACGAAACGTTGCCATCGAGAAAAATGTTAGACTCGATCTGCGATCATTATCGGATCCCTTGCGTGTTTTTTCTTTTCACAGGAAATCATTCCTATCGATTGTCTCTCTATTATTGTACCGGGTATCTTTTATTAGCCAAATGTTGTTAATTAAACACGCGAGACAGGAAGGACAACTGATAAAGAACTCGTTCTAGATGAATATTGACTTTCAATGTTCATTAAAAGCATGTTTTACTAATAACTACTAATAAGTACAAAATGGAACTATGGATATTCATATCGCCAGCCGAATATAACAACTGACACTTAGAGAAAGATGCATGTGTATTTTTTCCCTTATTACAGACATATTATTTCATTCTTCTTAATGTTCTCACTGTTGTGGAAACATTCACGATTGCACGAAGTCTCGGATTTCGTCCCGTTACAAATTCTTTTTTTTATTAGAAATCTTACAGTTGTAGGAAATACCTTAATGCTAACGATGAACAGTTTGGGTTTAATCTCGACAAAGTGGAGAGCGCATTTACCGATGACTTATTGTGAACGAGATAATTTAATTACATAGAAAAATGTACAATTGATTCACGTATCATTAGTGTATCATTAGTTATCCTAAATTACACGATTCTTCGAACCTCAAAGAATCGTTTCAAATAAAAGATTTGCCCTATCGTTACGCATACCAGTACCATAGCTTCGAAGAACGCCCATACCACGACACGGAAATTTGTACTCTCATTGATTGCCCTGTGATTGCGATCGCGGACCTGAAATCGCAAAAAAAATACTCATAAACATTAAAATCAGATCAGCAAAGTAAACATCAATAAAGAAATGTGTGGGTTTTGCTTCTCCATTAGTATATACCTGCATGTACTCTTGTTCGTTTTTCACACCCCACAAGCTGGTGCTCAAATCTTTGATCATATCATCTAACTTTCCATGATTACTATCTCCATCCTGATTCTCCGCACCTGCATTATCCTCAGATTGTTTCCGATTTTCGTCAATGTCCATATTGAACATTACCACTTTCGGTGTCATTGTGCTCTTCTGATTACTGAAGCAGTAAGTATAAACGCCTGAAGTATGCGCAGCAAACGTATATTTCCCACTACTCTCCTGTTCGCCTTGGTAGATTATTCTACCGTCAGGGCCAACTATCTTAACATCTATATCTAAGAATCCACCCTCTGCTATTTCAAATGTAAGACCTATAAACATACAAACGATATTAGACAACATGTGAATATGCAACTAATTGTAAATAATCAAGAAAGCTTTATTGATTAAACAGGCATGATTTATTAGAATTGTATAAAACCTGTCCTTTTTAGCTGAACTTCTTATATTACTTATCTTTTTCTTCTTTTTTTTCCCTCAATGTAAAAAAAAGAAAAGTTTAATCGACAAAAAGAAACAGTTCAGCTAAAAAGAACAGATCTCTAATCATTTAATTTTGTTTTGTATGTTGGTATAACAAAGGAAAATAAAATAAAATCAGAGAAGTAAAATCAGAGAAGTAAAATATACTCAAATATACATCATATGTACAATTTGTACAATTTATATAGATAAATTTTCATAAAAATTTTCGTAAAATACAAAGTTTTTATACAAGAACTAAATTTTCATAAAATGCAAAGTTTTTATACAAGAACTTGTCTG